ATCATGGACATCAAGATGCATTGACATGATAAAAAAATGGACATCATTTCTGGATGTATGGACATGAGAATCACTCATTTCTGGAAGTATGGATACGAATTTCATTTTCTTATTTTAAGGCTATCACAATTGTTTCCATTGTTGATCATATGATTTTGGATGCACAATAGTTGTTATCTTCACCACCATCAATCACAAGAAGTAAAGTAAATAATGTTAAAATATTAAATCCCATTAATCTTATATCAAATGTATACGGGATAGCTCTAGGCAGTGATATGATGCTAAGCCCAATACACATAGGCAACCACTAATAATCAAATTTCACCAAGACTCCAAATCTTCTCAAGGTGGTCCATGTAGCAACCAAAAATGAAGAGAAAGAGAGGATGACCGATATTGGTACATAAGCACAACAACACACATTGATATCAAGAGTGATACTGAAGATTTTGTAATATATTTAGTGAGTTCTAATAATACAAATACTATAACTTTTCATAAAAAATATGCTAGCTCTACATACTTGGGTGGATCAATTCGAAACTCATGTCAAACACAACCATCTAAAAATACCATCTTATAATATAATAAAGAGAGCCCAGAGCTGGGTATGTCAAAATGACCAATACATTACAAAATGATCAATACAAATTGGGATCCTCAAAATGACCCATTACATGCCTCGCCTTCTCTTAGCCTGATACTCTTTATTTCGTGTATTATAGCTTCTGGGTTCCTCAACTGCAGGTTGTGTGGAGGGAGCTAGTTCTTCTACAACTTGACTACTTTTACCCACTCCATCATCTTCGGTCTCATCAGGTACAACTTCGTCATTATATTGATATTGTAAATGCTCCATCCTGGCTTCTACGTCGCCCATATCTACAGGTACAAACTTAGACAACATTTCAAATGCATTGTTAACACGATTAAGAACTTCAGGGTACCACTTCTGTCTAAGTATAAGTGCCTCTGCTAACATGATTGTAGATGCCTTAACTGCATTAACTTGCATAACAAGATTACATAATTGGCATATTTAAACAATTGAATAGATCTAGAAGGTAAATAAAATACTATAATAATTTATAGGTCAATATAAATGTACCAACTGGTCCTCATAACCTAGAGGTCTCATTATATACTGTGGTTCATGAGCAAGAACCACTTCTACTTCTTCATAGATATGAGGTTGCAATATGTCTTTGGGTGGATTAGCAACATTATGTATCAAAGGATGGGACACCAAGTTGTACCAGGCTTTATACTCCTCTGAGGGCAACCCATTATTAGTATCTTGTTGAATATCAGGCATAATGCTGTCATGGCGAGACAACCAGTTAGCGATTTTATCTGCATTGACGTTTCGTCAGTTTCGCTGTCCAACTTATCTGCTGGCCCTCTTACTAACAACCAAAGGATTCTTAGGAATGCCATGTTTTGCTTCAAATTGCCGCCATACTCGGTCTGGCATGTACGGCTCGGCAATATCGTCAAATACCAAAGCTGTAGGACACATTGCAGTGTGAAATGCCTGTTGCCTATCATCTGGAATGACCTCATCAGGGTTGAAATAAGGATTCCAGATTACCTGTTATTTGATACGCATTCAGGCAATAAAAATAATTACAAATACTTAAATAATATTGAAAGAAATCAATATCAAATTATACACTAACCTCATTAAGTTGGAGGTTATCAATTTCTTATCTGATGGACGGTATTAAGTTATGTAGATTACCATGATATTTCTTCAGTGGCTCTCATCTTTTGGCCCTAGCCATATTTAGAGGGATTCTGTGCGGTTTGGACCTCATATGTATAATATGCTCATATTACTAACACTGCAATAAATTGAGTATGATAAATATTAAATATATTAAGAAAGCAATCTAAACTATTACGCTTATGTCATATACCAAAACAAATGGTTATCTGCATGTGAGTGGTTGAGCCACTAAAATGTCATCGCTTGAAAGTGCAAGCTTTCCACGTAAGAGATAGAGGAATGCAAGGGCTGCAGCACCCCAAGCATATGTGCTGGTGCCCTCAATATATTTGAAAAACTGCAGGTACCTTTTAGGCACTGTTGAAACTGATGCATCAACGAATATGGTTACATTGATGAGGAAGAGCAGATATGCTCGAGTATATCTATAAACTTGAACTGGGGTTGCATCAGGTGGCAATTCCTTAAAATTCGCCTTCAGCCATGTATGCCTCAGGCTTGCCAAGTTGCCATAAGGGACTATACCCAAATTATCTTCCATAAACTTTCACAAGTCCTTGATAGGACGACATGTAACTGGGTTGCCATCCACAGCCAGTCCTAATATCTTGTATACATCAAAAAGTATTGGTGTCATATCACCATTATGAATGTTGAAATGAAAGGTGTTGGTCTCAGAACGCCACCTCTCTATATTAGCTGCGACCATAGTATGATTAATTCGGCCTAGCCGAATGATAGCCAATAGACCCAACCGAGAAGCATGAACTAACTGAACTTGTTCTCTTGTTAATTTTCATTCATTTAATTGATAACTCTTCTCATCAATTCTAATTTTTTTTTCTCTTGAAATACAACAAATAAACAGCATACTAGAATCAATATATATATATATATATATATATATATATATATATATATACATGTACTTTCCATAGGATGTTTGAACTAGACTACCATTTATTGAAAATTAATAAATAAATAGAATGGGCAGATGAATATATGCATATACCTGTCCTTCCCATATGAATTATGAGCAATGTTCTGGATGACGTTGCAACAAACTAGGGTCACGAAGACCTCCTGGATATCATCCATCGGGATATAAACGATCCATATTCACTGAAATCCCATATGGTCAACATATTAATCATAAGGCTACACATGTAGAAATTAACTGGATAACCAAAAAATAATAATGACATACTACTGATGAAGAAGAACATTGTTACAATCCATTGATGAAAGAAGACCAATGTTAAAATGAAATTGCTATGCTAGTCCAACTAAGGATCGTATACTTGAAAATCGAAATCAATCAGTGAATATGGTGGCCAAATAAAGAATTGATTCTTTGAGTCAAACATACAACTAAGAAGAATTCAAAGAGTTATTCAAAAACCACTAAACAACTGCCATAATTAGCTACAATGCCCTATATCCAGTTCTTAAATCCAATTTAATATATCTACTTGAAGAACTACTATCCAGACCCCTTAATTAACCAGATATGCACAACCCTCATCCACTTCTTTTATCAGTAACAAATTCAAAACCGCGTGAAATACTACACTGAATCCAATTCAATGGACCTCAGCTAAACAATAACCAAATCCTAGATGGATAAACAAAAAGAAAACGCAGTAGTCCCTTCCAAGTAACCATCCTCGACTAAAAACTAAAGAATTCAACTTTAATGAGCAACAAAATTATTTCAACAGAATCCGACATTGATAAGCAATAAATCATTTCATTGTAAAGACCAGAATCCAACTGTCATAAGCAACTAAATCATCCCATCAAAAACAAAGAATTCATGTTAGCTCAGTAACGAATCCATTAATAAACGATGCATTTCAATAAAAAACTGAAGAAATCGATTTATAGATAGACGAACGGTTCCATCAAAAAAGGAAAAATTCAATTTCATGTCGAACGGCTCCATCAAAAAGGGAAAATTCAATTTCATGTCAAGCAACAATTTCAAACAATAACAGAGAACAATGCTACTTATAATACAAGCAACAGATTAAATCCAAAAAATTCAAATAAGTGTAGTCATTGTTACTTGAATCATAAATCATTAATCATAATTCAAATAAATTCACTAATTAAATACTTTGCAAAGTATTCAAAGTAAATATGTACTTGAATCATAAATCACGTACAAATTTTATTTTTTAAGCTACTCAATCTATCAACTAGAAAAATCAACAATTTACTAAAATATCAATAAATCTAACACAAATATGTGCTTAAGACTATCTAAGAGTATAAACCCCCAAATTTAAGTAATTTATAATTATACAAAGACCACAAAATTTCAAGTTCTCAAAACTCCCAAATTTTAAATATCTAATTCAATCACAATGGAGCCACAAATTAATTCAATTTATACCAAAATCACAACAACTAATTAGTATGCTTGAGTATAAACCCTAACCAAAAATCCAAATAAAAAATGTGAAATTGCTTCAAAAATCTAAATTAAAAATCGACCCACATAACTTCACAATGTGAAATTGCTTCAAAATCCAAAAAATGCCGTCTGTCAAAGGCAAACACTGTTGAAAATCAAAATAAAAAAACTAACTGCTATTCTTTACCAATAAGGCGCACAATATCAATCACACTCTCAAAGAATGAAAAACATGTAGATGCACTGTGAAAGAATGAAAAAAATGCACAGTCCTGCTTTTTTCAGAGGTTCGACATCCGAAAATTGAAAAGTGAATGTTTTTTTTAAATCCTGTTTTCGGGGGCAAAAATGTTTTTTTTAAAAACAGGCATTACAAAGATAAAAAACGGACAGATGAGTAATAACATAAACTATTATATATAACCGTAATAACGTAAAGTATAATAAATATATACGTAATTTTCTCAATTTTTTTAAAATAAATGATCCCATGTTACAAGATACACCATTTCACGGAATAAAAACTTTTTTTTTCTTTTCGTATTCATACATATGCAGATTACCAATTAGAGGTTTTTCAACCTCCACTCCACGCACCTTTTATGATGGATTTTTGGGCTGCACTTTAGTTTTAGGTTGCAACCTTATATACCCTAAACTTTTTCTTTTCTAATTTTATTTGAAGTTTCTAAATCTCTTGTTTTTTTTTTCGTATTCATACATATAGCAGATGACCAATTAGGGGGTTTCCAACGTAGGCACCTTTTCCGATGGATTTTTGGGTTGCACTTTAGTTCTACGTTTTTAAGGTTGCAACCTTATGTACCCTAAACTTTTTCCTTTCTAATTTTATTTGAAGTTTCTAAATCTCTCTCTGGTGTTGTTTTCTGTCTATGAAACAACAGAATAAATAGGGTTACAAACTTTAAGTAACCCAAAAATCCACGGTTACTTTGTTATTAGCGTGGAGCTGCAACTGCAAACTCAGATATCTAAACCCTATATATTTCTCTCTCCAGTCATGATAGCCATACTCTTGCGGAGCTGTTATTTCTGAATCTTCACCCAGTTGCAGGTACGCCTTTACTCCCTCTCTCGCTGTATTTCAGAATCTTCACCCCAGTTGCAGGTACGCCATCGCTCCCTGTCCCTCTCTCCCTCTCTCTCTGTATTTCAGTTTTTTTTTTGAATCCATCTTTGTATTTTGTACTCTGAATCTCTCTCTCTCTCTCTCTTTGTGGATTCTCTAATTCGTGACAGTCTCTACTGTATCTGGATTCTCTCTCTCCCTCTCTCTCTCCACCCCTAATTGGGCTCTGTCTTTCTGAAAGCTTTTGGCCAAAAATTTTTCCCTGCCCTCTGTTGCTTTCTCTCTAACGTTTTTTTTTTTTTGTAATTTATTGTTGATGTTTTCCTTTTTTTACTACGTCTTGGTTAATTGGATGTGCTTAATGTTGATGCTTACATTGGGGAAGTGGAGATTAAAAAGTGGAACTAGCATTAAAGCTCCTTACAATATTCTTGGTCACTGAAAATGAAGTGTAACTAGTTTTATGAATAGCATTGAACGAATAATGTTTTAGATGATTTTCTTGAATCTTGTTGTAGAAGATCAAAGATTGAATGCATAAGTGAAATAATAGGGCAATGGACTTGAGCATTTTTGGCTTTGATCTTGTTGACTTTCTAAATTCTCTGCCTCAATTCTTGATCTTTATGATATTCTAAAAAAAAAAAAATTCTTTATCTTTATGATTGAAATGCCTTTCAAGGAACTCATTCATGTGTTTATTTCATCGAAAACTATAAATTATCGCAGGATCTTGATATCCTGATCCTCGAGAGTGGTTCTATGATTCTCAGACCTAACATGATGCTGTGTCATTTGAATATTTGTAACTGCTTGTTTTCATGTGCTGAAATCACTTGAGAATTATCCTAAGTCTAATGTCCATTTGCACAGTTACTATTATGTACTCGGAAATCATACCGGATAACCAGAACGGAAGAGTCCAAGTCGCCCTGAGCTAAGTAGGAAAACTCACGATTCTTTCCCTTGTTCGTACTCTTACCTATTTGGTAGATTTGTAATATGGAAGAAGGTAAGGGGAAGGGACATAAACAATTTCTTCGAGGGAAACTAACCTCCAATACAATGCATTAATGGAATAAAAAATCTGCCCATACCATCGGCTACAACACTTTTATATAGCTCCTTTCCAATTTTCAACTTCCCTCCCTTATAGTAACACTCATTCAGCTCATACTCCCTAAAGACTATGACTCTTAACAACCTTTTACTGACTTATTACTCACACCACCTAAAGATTAGGACTCCCAAAATCCTCTTACTGATTTGGGTTATTCACCCTTACATGGACTCATCCACTCTAAGCCACGTTGTCCCTTTCCACCCTGCATACGTGGTGGAGTATATTGAGGAAAAGCAAGCACATAACATCCCTCCCCTCTTAAACATCACCCTTGACCTCAAGGGTGAACCCAAGAAGTTTAATCTTCATTTGGGGGCCGTTTGGATACGTGGAAATATATTGTCTGTGAAATATATTACGGGCGTAATACATTACCTGCAAATGGATTGTCACTGTTTGGGTAGTATTTAGATGCAACTTGGGAAATACATTGCTACTGTTTGGCTATGTCTCGAAGGAATATGAGAAATGCATTACCATCCAAATATGAAAAATATGGCTATGTTTGGCTAACATGATTAGACTTTGGTTTCAACATGATAAGTCATTGGAATAATATGATTGGAATAACATGATTTTATTGTGATAAGCCTTATTTTTATTTATTTTTTATAGACGTATTTCAAATGTCTCTCTATATATAATTTCAAATAAGTAATAAATTTATGATACCAAAATCAAAATTTTTATGGTACAAGTTAAAAAATGGGAAAAAGTTTGATTAGTAAACTAAAAGGTTTGATAATTGCAGTAGAAAATTTTGAAGCATTGGAGGAGACTAAAGAGGTATCTTATTTCAATTGAGCTTTTACTAATCTCTTATGAGGATTATGTTGTGTGAAATTTTTTATTATGATTGTGTTATGTAATTTCTCATCGATTACCAATTATTATTTTTATTATTTATATTTTTATACGAGAGCTGAGGGTGGGCTACCACCCAAATTGGGGATAGAGGGATGTAGAATTTTTTTTATTATGATTGTAGTGGAAAATTGTCCCTCATCAAGTTCTACATCGGTTCAAATCAATTTAGATTTCCCCTTACTTTTACTTATCAATTATTTTTTTTTTTTTTTTTATATGAGAGTCAGATGAGGGTTACAACCCAAATTGGGGATAGAGGGATGTAGAATTTTTTTATTATGATTGAAGTAGAAAATTGTCCTCGTACACCTATTCAAATCAATATAGATTCCCCTTTTCATATACCCTACTTTCACTTTCTACTTACCTTAATAATTATAAGGTACAGGTACAACGTATACTTGAGAGAGGGAAATGTTTTTTTAATGTATTTCCATTTCCTTACTATTAAAGTGTACCCAAACGGTGTAAATGTCATATTTCCTTGTAATCTATTGTCACGTAATAGATTTTCATGTACCCAAACGGCCCCTTGTTATACGTCCTCCCAAGTTGCTTCAGATGGAGAGAGTCCCTTCCAATGTATAAGAACCTCATCACGCTGCCTCCGAGTCCGACGATCCAGTACGGCTTGTGGTTGAGCTATAACAACATCTTCTTCCTCTTGAAGATTGGGTAGCTCATGTTGCACTTGTATACTTGTTCCTACCTTCTTCTTCAAACATGATACATGAAAAACCAGATGTATCCTTGATTCACTTGGCAACTGGAGCTATGGTTCCCACCCTTTGAATTATCTCATATGGCCCATAATACCTTGGCAATAACTTTAAATTCCTTCTAAGTGAATCTTACACTTGCCTGTATGGTTGCAAGTGTAGATAAACCAAGTCACCCACTTCAAAACTCTTGTCAGTCCAATGCATATGATAAAACTTCTTCATACGAATTTGAGCTGCTTGTAATTGAATCTTGAGATCCTTAAGAATTTGATCCCGATCAATAAGCCCTTTGTCAACCGACTCAACTTAAGTTGTACCTGGAACATAGGATAATAAGGTGGGTGAAAGCTGACCATAAAAAATCTCATAGGGCATCTTCTTTGTAGAAGTATGGACACTCATATTGTAACAGTACTCAGCTCATGCCATCCAACGAACCCAATCTCTAGGTTTATCACCAGTGAAGCATCTCAAGTACATTTCAACAGTCCGATTCACGACCTTCGTGTGACCGTCGGTTTGGGGTGATAAGCCGAAGAGAAGTTGAAATTCATGCCTTGCAAACGGAACAACATCTCCCAAAACGTACTTGTGAACACCGGATCTCTGTCACAAACTATGGATTTTGGCATACCATATAATTTGAAGATATTTTCAAAGAAATTCCGAGCCACTTATGTAGAGGTGTATGGATGAAATATGGGAATAAAATGTGCAAATTTTGACAGCCGATCTACCACTACAAATATTGTAGATTTTCCTTTTGACTTTGGAAGCCCATTTATAAAATCTATAGTTAAATCGGCCCATACCTGGGCAGGTATTGGTAGGGGTTGAAGAACGCCCGTTGGTGAGGTGTTCTCCCACTTTTGTCGTTGACAAGTGTCACATTGTTTAATGTGATCCATAACCCCAATAGAAAACCAATCGGATACGTTGGAGAGTTTTGTGATAACCCTCATGTGTACCCGAATGGATCTCCTCCATAATTGTAATAGCTAATGGTGACTCGGCCAGCATGAAAATCCTATTTTTAAAAAATAGAATTTCTTCCTTGTAGCTCCATGGACCCTCATCTTCTCCTTTCTGTACTTGCTCTACCAACTCTTGCAATTTCGGGTTGTTGGCAACCTCTTCTTAAATGGGATCGAGCCACCGGGGTACCGGGCTAGAAATGGCAAAATTTTCTCCCCTGTCGCCTTTCCTTGAGAGAGCATCGACCACTAAGTTCTTCCTTTCGCTTTTATACTCAATGAGAAAATCATATCCCATGAGCTTCATCAACCCCCTTTGTTGAGCAGGCGTGGTGATTTTCTGCTCCCAAAGGTATTTAGGACTTCTTTGGTCTGTCCTTACAATGAACTGCCTCCCCAATATATAGTGCCTCCATTTTTGTACCGCAAGAATCAAGGCCAACATCTCCTTTTCATAAGTTGACATGAACAAATTTCTTTCTTGAAGTGCTTGACTAAAAAATGCGATAGGCCTCTTGTCTTGCATCAACACCCCTCTTACTCTAGCCCCAGAAGCATCACACTCACTAATGAATGGCTTGGAGAAGTCCTGTAGGGCGAGCACTGGAGCCTTGGTCATCACCCCCTTGAGTTGTTCAAACGCTTCTTCAATACGTGGTGACCATTGAAAGCCGTCCTTCTTGAGCACATTCGTCAATGGGGCTGCAATTTTACCATAATTCTGTATGAACTTACGGTAATATCCAGTTAACCCCAAAAAACCTTGTAGAGCCTTGGAAGTGGTAGGTTTCAGCCAATCCATCATAGCCGAAATTTTATTCGGGTCTACGGCCACTCCCTCTTGAGTGATGATGACATGTCCCAAATACTTCACTTCTCTTTGTCCAAAATTACATTTCTCTTTTTTTACAAACAACCGGTGAGATCTTAAAATAGAAAATGTTATTTCAACATGCTTCAAGTGATCCTTCCAATTTTTGCTATAAATCAAAATGTCATAAAAAAATACTAAGATAAACTTACGGACGTAATCCTTGAAGACAGAGTTCATCAAGGATTGAAAAGTGGACGGAGCATTTGTTATTATGTACTCGGTAACCAGATCGGGTAACCTGAACGAAAAAGTCCAAGTCGCCCTGGACTTGATCACGAGCTAAGTGGGAAAGCTCACGATTCTTTCCCTTGTTCTTACTCTTACCTATTCTGGTAGATTTGTAATATGGAAGAAGATAAGGGGAAGAGAGAGAAACAATTTTTTCGAGGGAAACTAACCTCCAACACAATGCATTAATGGAATAAAAAATCTGCTCACACCATCGGCTACAATATTTTTATATAGCCCCTTTCCAATTTTTAACTTCCCTCCCTTATTTTAAGACTCATTCAGTTGTTATAGTTCAACCACAAGCCGTGTTGGATCGTTGGACTCGGAAGCAGCGTGATGAGGTTCTTATACATTGGAAGGGATTTTCTCCATCTGACGCAACTTGGGAGGACATACAACAAATGAAGATTAGATTTCCTGAGTTTACCCTTGAGGTCAAGGGTGATGTTTAAGAGGGGAGGGACGTTATGTGCTTGCTTTTCCTCAATAAACTCCACCACGTATGCAGGGTGGAAAGAGGTAACGTGGCTTAGAGTGGATGAGTTAATGTAAGGGTGAATAACCCAAATCAGTAAGAGGATTTTGAGAGTCATAGTCTTTAGGTGGTGTGAGTAATAAGTCAGTAGAAGGTTGAGTCCTAGTCTTTAGGGAGTATGAGCTGAGTGAGTGCTAAAATAAGGGAGGGAAGTTGAAAATTGGAAAGGGGCTACATAAAAGTGTTGTAGCCGATGGTGTGGGCAGATTTTTTATTTCATTAATGCATTGTGTTGGAGGTAGTTCCCTCGAAGAAACTGTTTCTCTTCTTCCCCTTACCTTCTTCCATATTACAAATCTACCAAATTAGGTAAGAGTAAGGGAAAGAATCGTGAGCTTTCCTACTTAGTTCGTGATCAAGTCCAGGACGACTTGGACTCTTAACAACCTTCTACTGACTTATTACTCACACCACCTAAAGACTAGAACTCTCAAAATCCTCTTAGTGATTTGGGTTATTCATCCTTCCATAGACTCATCCACTCTAAGCCACGTTACCCCTTTCCACCTTGCATACATGGTGGAGTTTATTGAGGAAAAGCAAGCACATAACAGTTACACTCTATTTATATACGAGGAGATCATTTTATTAACTTCCATTAATATAATTGTGCTCAATCGACCTAATTAATGTGGATTTTGCTTACTTCAACACTCTTCGGTGAACTATGATTGCAAGTTTGGCATTAACTTTGGCACTACTCCTTGCTTGTACTACAAGTACTCAATGCATTTTGTTTGGACAATCCATCATATATTATTCGATATCTAAATTTTGTTCCTGCTTTGTTGCATTCATACATGGATCTAGATGATGCATGTGAGGGAACTGGAAAGGACCCACTATTGGTCCTCCACGAAAAATTGAAGAACCAATTATTGGTAGTACCTATTTACATTCATTAAATTTATTGTTCTTGAGGCCATGGTTATTATTACTTAGTTTTTTTTTATAGTTAATCATGGTGATGCTTAAACTTTAAGTTTTTATTCTGTTCCCTCATCATTTACAGTTTATATTGAATTTGATTGGGAAAGTGATCTCTAGATGTGCTTTGTGATACATTTCAGTCTATGTTACTTTACGGAATTAATCACGATGGCTGCAAAAGTTGAGCAAGCATCTGCAGTTGAATCTCGCCGTGTCCAGGCTGCAACATCAATGTCTACTTCATCATCAAGTAATCCTAAGATTTCTATGTTTGGAGCACAATCTGGGTTTGTCATTCCAAAGAATAAGCTATCAGGTTCCTTGGTCCCTACCATTCGAGGTGGCGGGAATTCCTTGGTCCCCATTCGAGGTGGTGGGAAGTTGGACACCGCTGATACTACTAAAGAGGAAAACAATAAGCAAGTGCAAAGGAAAACGAAATGGGGCAGTGATTTGACTCTAGACCCAGCTGTTAGAAGGGGAAGAGCTTTTGCATATCAGGTATTTGCGAAGTTTTTTTTTTTTTTCTGACGAAAAGTATTTGCAAAGTTATTGGTCCTCTAATTAAGTGAAACTACAGTATGATTCAGTTCATTATGGAAACCATAGTTCTTTGGGGTCATCATATCCAAATGAAATGATCTTGGGTGATGGAGAGTGTGGCTCACCATCTACATCCTGTTCTGATGGGTCGTCCTCTCTTTGCATTGTTGTCCATTATTTCAGTGGATGGTGATGATGCCATTGAACTTTGCTTTCTTGGTCCATGGCTTTTCTATGGATTGAAGCAATCACCTACATTTATAGCCACCATTTATGGCCATGGAAGACATGTCATTTGCGCAACCCCAGGTGCAATTGGGGGTTGGTGTGCAATGAAGATTTCCATGTACCATGGGTGTTGAGATGTTAGTATCTTCCTTGTGAATTTCTCACATGGAAGCACTTCCAATTCCAGGTGGCATTAAGTGATATTACTGCCTGTCTGGTGGAACAAATTTTGAGCAGACTCGAGTGGAACAAATCACACGGCAACTGGAGTCCGGCATTGTGGAAGATGGAGATGATCAGGGCTCGAGCTCACCATCAACTGGACGTGATCCTGAGTCTTCTGATCAGAATGATAATGAGGTAAGTATGCAGAGGATCTTGCATTATGTTTTCATCAATTACCAAGTTGCCTTGATTTTGATGAGGAATTATATTAGATTTATTACTATATAGAAACCATAGGCCATTGCTCATCATTGATCATGGGAGTAATGGGCTGTGATGTAGAGAGTGGGACCCACCACTGCAATATGTGTTGTTTTGGTGGGTTCCCCAGTTAACCACTGAGCACCATTCATTGCCCCCCACTCTCTTTCTTTTTCCTATTGTTAAAATGACTGTTGAACCAAAGAATTGAAAGCACACAAGATAGTCCCTAATCTCTCTCTCTCTATTGTTTCCCCCAATATTGTTCTTTATTGGGTAGGCCAGCGTGAGATGGATTTGCTTTACCATTTTGGAGATGGACGGTATCTTCAATATCATTTATTTATTTATTTGTTTTTTCAAATTGGCTGCAGTTGACGGAACTTCAATTATTGGAATTGGAAAAACAAGAAGCAATCGGTATGCTTTGCTTAAATCTGTCGTGTTTGTTTCCTTCTATGCTTTCAAAGAGTGATCGATGAACGATGCTTCATCTCGCTTCAGGTGAATGCATACGGTTGAATCCGAGTTACAAAGCCCCACCTGGTTACAAGCCATTGTTAAGAGAGGCCAAAGTTCCAATTCCTGTAAGCCATTGGTTGTGAATATAGAATATTCTTTTCAACTTCTTTTTGGTATTTCTTCTTTCTTTTATTATTTTCATTGAATCATAGAATGCTCTCGATTGGTTTGTAATTCGTAAATTGGTTACTTTATGCGTACATAGAACAAATTGATGTTACAACATTATGTGTTTGAATCAGTGTTCACAAAATCGAACCGGAACAGTTAACCGGACATGGGGCTGGAAGCGGTTTAACTGGCCTAACCGGTAAACCGCCCGATTCAACCGTTCTAACCAAGCAAGTCCCGGGCGGTCAAAAAATTGTTGAAAAAAATGAAAAAGATACAAAAAAAATCTACTAAAATATAAAAGGCATATAAAGAATGATTAAAACAAAACACATTCAAATGAAGTTGAAAATTAATCAAAAAAATGGATTTTAAAGAATCGATTTGTGCCTAGGGGTATTTTTTAAATTTTTCAAAAAAGATGGGAAAATATAAAAGTGAGTATTAATGACCAAAACAATTTCTAATCTTTACCGTAGTGTAAAGAATATTAAAAAATGTATTACAAACCAAATTCCTTATTTTCTAGATTTTATATATAATTTTTTGAATTTTTTTTTTTAAAATACCGGTCGTTCACCAAAACTGCTGGAAACTGGAACCGGCCAGTGGCTGGTTCAGATCTAACCGGGTGGTTACCGGTTAGATCACCCGGCTTTTCCAACATGGGTTTGAATAGAGCACTGTCAACAAAGATTATATGAAAATTATTTTATTTCTTGATTGCAATCTTTATTATTTGATTTGAAGGAGTAATCAGATCTCTGGTGGAGGAATTTGAGTGTATATAATCAATTTAACTATGAAGCAGAATTTTCATTGTTATCCTCAATCAATGATGTTGTGTATTGTTTTGTCTCTTTTTTCCTTCTATTGCAACAGCTGAAAGCATATCCTGGCTATAATTTCATTGGTTTGATTTTGGGGCCTGAAAGCAATACACAGAAGCGATTAGAAGAGGTATTACTGGTTTTTAGTTTTGTGATTGGCATTAACTTTTTTGTCTCAATGTAGTCTGTGCATCTTTTTTTTTTTTCCTGCCATCTGCATTTTTACAAGAGTTGTTTTCCTATGTTAACGGTCTTTTATGATTTTAAATAAATGTTGTGTGTTCAACAGGAAACTGAAGCTAAAGTACGGATTCATGGCATCAAAGCTGATACAGGAGAGAAGGTAATGCATCTAACACTTCAGTAAATAATGTGGTTCTCGTGTTTCTCTCTTTAATTTTTGATAAACATAAAGTGTCACTTTTTCAGTAGTGTTTATTATCTTGAGCATGGACTCGACTTTCTCATCAAGACATGATTCTGCCATGGGATGGTTCTGACCAATCTTTTGAATAGTTTGACATTTTTGAGGAATATGCTTGAACTGTTGTCATGTTAATTGTTGACAGTATCAGAAAAAACTGTTGTCATGCTAATATTTGCTTTATATTCTGGATATTGTCATGTATGCTAGATGCATCAATACTTCATAATTGGTCCTCTATCCGGGTGGGTAATCTATACAATCAGAAAAAGCTGATGTGCTAGTTTTGTTCATGTTGTCATAGCTTGTATGTTATAGACTGGGTTGGATTTATTTAACTTTTGCATAATCAAACATAATATTAGATTTCATTCAAGAAATCTTGGTCATAAAAGCCACTGACCTCATTCCGAGTCATGTCGTTCTTTCTCACACAATTGAAGCCTTTGCTGGATGCCCAGGAGATAATGGATGCCCTAATCTTCATTTGAGGACCTCATACTCATCAATGGATTTCGGAGATTCTATTGCTACACTCCTTTAGTCCTTAGAGAATACCTTCTGAGCCATCCTTCCGGATGCCCAACTGATGAATAAACTTGTTTTTGTTGGGAGGGGGGGGGGGGAAGCCCAGCTGATGAATAAACCTGTTAGTGAAGCCAACTAATCAATGTATTGTGGACCTCCTAGTCCTCTTGAGATTTTCTCTGTACAGATGAACTCACTATAAGTGGTCATTGGTCTATTTTCTTTTCATTGTTGTTTTCTTTTTATTCATTTGGTCACGACTGCCCCCTCAAATGACACCCCAACATTTCACACACTTTCTTCTCCTGTAAATCATACTTTTAATTCCACGCATTCCAAGTTATCATTTGTTCACATATTTCTCCTTACGATTTCCAGATAGAGATCAGTCAGTTAGAAGGTAATGAAGATCAGAGTGTTTATGGAGATTTGTATGTCCATGTTTCCGCTGACACATATGAGAAAGTAGATGCTGCAGTTGCCCTGATTGAGCTGCTGGTGACCCCAGTGTCTGTAAGTCTTCTCAACTTCCTCCAAATGAATTTAGTTTCCTTCTTACTGATGGAGTAGCTTTAGTACCTATCGAGAAGAAAGAGGTTGTAAACAATAAGTGGGATAGTAGTTTTCAAAAGAAAAAAAAAAAGAGTGTAAATTATCAAAAAAAAGAAAAAAAAAAGAAAGAAAAAAAGAAGTGAGATATTATTTACGTAAATTGGAATCTTGACCATCTGATGAAATTGTGGATGGTCATTAGAAAGTGGAACCACCTGACCATACTGTTGGTCCCATTCTCTCTCCATCACCACCATCCATCTTTTTCTTCAAATGGTCACACCTCCAGTATACTATGGTTTTCCGTAGTCTATTGGACTATATCAAGTAACTCGCCTGAATGTCCAACTTGGATGGAAGCTCACGGAACAGAGTCACTATCTTCAGGCCAATGCTGCAACTACTGGAACAACCTTGGCTCCATTTCCTGCGGAGGCATTAAACATGTCTGATCAAAACCCCGAGGGAGCCCCAACCAGTTATGTGCTGCCGGTTAACCAGGTTTCGCCAATATTGGGGCTTCACCCATCAATTTACCAATTCCAAGCATATGGAAACCCTTGGCGCCCCGTAAATCCCACCTCTATGCTCTCTCCTTCAAATTTCATGCCCTCTCCAAACCCTAATATCTCTATGCGCTTCCCCCCGGCAACTCCTCTCAATTCTTTTAACCCTACCGCCTTCTTCAGGGGACGCCCGCCCTTGGGGCCCACATTTGCTAGGCCCCACCAGCCTCAGAACCTAGCCCCACAAAGGCCACCCTTTGAATCTCGACCATCGAATCAAGTGGGGCCTGCCTATAACCAACCCATCTTGGTCCCACAATCTCAAACGAGTTTCCCCCTTTTGAATGTGAGACCAAATAGTAATCTACCATCTCCATTTCCACATAGGCCAATTGTGGGTTCCTCTGCCTCCCCGGCATTTAGACCCATTGCACCCTCTATGCCCAACTCACCCTCAACACCACCCCAAAACAGGGCATTAGGCACAATGCTCTCTACTCCTATGCAAAACCCTCCATTGCAGCCACAGAATAGAACCTTAGCTTCTCCCTCTCCTCCCCCAACTAACTCCAGTTGGCAATCAAACCCACCCCATCTTGTCTCTCATCAAACATCAGGCGCTACAACTCAAGCTCCCCCAACTTCAATGCCACTTCCTCAAGGGTCCCAACTTCTTCAAACCACCCAATCTGTGACCCCGACTCCATTGAATCTACAAGAGGAGAAAGCTACTAGTAGGCCTGTGGCCCAACAAAATCCAAGTGTGGTTCGAGCCATGCAGGTATCAGCACCTGTTTTAACTTCAGCCTTCGCCCAGCCCCTAGGAATTGGGCAAGGGCAAGTGCCCAGTGCCACTCCCCCACCTATTCCTGCCCCTAAACCTCAGCGTCCTAGCTCAAATGACTTCACATTCCAGACCCGGGTGCCACCACCTCAAGCTCAATCGGTGCCCTCATCCTCTGTGCCTCAGGCACCCTCTTTTAGGCCCCAAGTGCCACTATCAACCCCTAATTTGGTCACTCAACCCACCCACATGCAACTACCAAACCCTAAACAGACTGGTCAGACCGAAGTGTCACTACCAAACCCCAGTTTGACCCCTCAGAGACCAAGCCCTAATTTGACTCTTCAGACACAATTGCCACTACAGAACCCTAGTTTGGCAGTTAGACCCCAAGTGCCACCACCAAACCGTAATTTGAATTCTTCTTCCCAATTGTCACTACCCAACCCTGTTTCGGCTGCTCGGCCCCAATTGCCACTGCAAAACCCTAGTTTTGCTCAGTCTCAAGTGGCACAACCTAACCCAAGTTCAATGCCTCCCCCCAAATTGCAGCTGCCTAACCCTAATTTACCCACTCGGCCCCAGGTTCAGCAACCAAACCTGAATTTGGCACCTCGGTCTCAAATGCCCCAACCAAACCCTAACCTGGCTGCCCGACCCCAATTACCACTAGCAAACCCTAATTTGACCTCTCCCTTGGCCTCATCAGGCCCCACAAGGCCAAGCCCTCAGCCACCCATGTTGGGCCCCACAAGGCCAAGCCCTCAGCCACCCATGTTGGGTCCTCTAATTAGGCCACCCCAAAACCCTAACTTTTCAGCTAGGCCCCCAATGCCTGGTTTTCTGGCTTCGCCTATGGGGCCTCTGGTGGGCCAGCAGATGGGCTTTGCCGGCCCAAATCAGCAGTTTAGAGGGGCCCCAGGTCATGGTGTGGTTGGTAGGCCTGGGTCTTCTGGTAATAGTGGTGGTCAGAGCTATGATCCATTCTCGCCTGCCGCAATTTCACCAATGCAACATGGTAATGGTGAGGAGAGGAAGCCGAAGTCAGATGCTGAGTATGACGATTTGATGGCCTCTGTTGGTGTAAAATGAGGTTCTGTTGTTCAGAGAGAGATGTTTAGGTTGGTTAACATTTGCCAATCGTGTCAGATTTGGGACTTGAGAGTATTTCTGGAGGTCTTATTTTCGTTTCATTATAATTGGGTATAGAGATCGTGCATTACAGTCTCAGACTTTTAGTAGATGCATTATTGGGATGCAGTTCTTTGTGAGTTTGCTGCTATGTAGTCCTTGAAGATGGTTAGATATATGCTTTCGGTTATAATTTATCAATTTTGCACTTTAGCTGCCCTTTATGCTTGGCTTCCAAGAGAATCGTTTTGGGATCTGATGAAAATATTGAGTTCTCTAATGAATCATTCACGACATGGTCTCTCAATGAATTCCTGCAGAGTTGAAGCTTCACTATTGATATCCATTGTAAACTTTGTGAATAGTGACCATCAAAATTGTGGGAGTTCAACTCTCTATCTCTCTTACTGCAGGGTGTGGTTTGTATAAGGCTGAGGCCCTTAACAATCAGAGTGAGGCGCACCTTCAAATCGTGTTGAAACATTATTTTAGTACTGGAAATCTTTGTGATGCCTTGAAATTTTGTTTTATCTTTAATTGTAAAATTTAAAGCTTAAAAGATAGTGTAGATCAAGAGTATCTATTTGGGAATGTGGTGGTAGCACCACTTGAGTTTCAACTACCGATCCAGGTTTCCATTCTCATTAACGCATTAAAAAACCGTTAATTATTTCTAAAAAATGGGTAGGGGATTGCATTCCCCATTGTTCTACCCCAAAAGAAAAGAAGCATATCTATTAACATTTGAAAATCTTGAATATTAATAGTCACAAGCATGTATTACAAGATGAATTATTTTTGAGACTTGAAATCTATTTTTTTCTCATGTCTATTTACATGAACTCTCTGTACTTGCCTCTCCTAACTAAAAGAAGACCTTCATTTTCCCCTCTTAATTCTTTTTCGGCTCATTCTTTCTTTTGGTTTTCAGATCCGCATAAAAACAGGAAATGTGGCAAAAGGAGTAGGAGGAGATTTCCTCATAGATTGTTTTCACAAACTACCTTGCTTTTTGGATCGCTAGGGGCTTGGATTGGATCAGGCTTAGGTCGGCACCTACTTCCTGTTTTTAATTGTAATAATACTCGGGTTGCTCGGGCCCGCCATGGCACCTGATTTGTGGTTTTGAAACGCTGGCTATCTAATTTCAAATTTTCAATTGTCTACACTGTCATGGAGTTTTTTAAACCCTTATATTAAGAAATTTATCAGAGGGTGCGGTTTGCATACTCTAAACAATCGAAGTAAAGCACATCTTCAAATAGTGTCAAAAAATGTGGCTTCAATATTGAAAATCTACGAAATAGCTTTAAAATATATTTTCATCTTTAATTATAAAATTTGAAGTTTAAAACATAGTGTAGATCTAGTAAATTTATGAAAACTTGAAAATGATGGTCCAAAAATGTGTTGGAAGATGTATTATTTTCAAAGAAATTTGAGTATATTTGAGCATCAAAACAACCTCTTCGAGTGAAATTTTTTATGTGGGCTCTAATTTGATATTGTTTAGGAGCCTTGACTCTATATAAACCTTTTCCTTATGAAAATACCTGTATTCAACATCTAGCCCATTTACAACTTTGTAACTCAAGAAGTGTTTTTCTATGGTTTTTTTCAAAACTAAATCGAAAGACATGGGTAAAGTGTAAAATGTTCATCACTCATGAGTAATTTGATAAATTTCTCAAACATAAACCTTGGCCAACTTTCCTGAACCCAAAATTTAGAATTTAGATCTCTCTCTCCCGAACGGCGCACATCGGGGGCGGGGAGAGAGAGAGATCACTAAAAAGTTGGAGAGAGATCCGTTAATATGAACATGAATGGTATAGCAAGATAATATACACAAAGGAGGTATCTAAAGGTTTATCAAATGGATGCACCAGATCTGAGCACCCTTTCTAGTTTCTCAGCTTTGGCATAATCTTTATCAGTGAGAGGGCCAGCAGGAAATGCAGTGATTTCCACAACCAAATGTGGAGTTGGAAGCTCATCAAACAAAGCCCTCACATTATTGCAGCACACACTCTCCCCATGTGCACTCTCCCTCCTTATCTGACATCCCTGCAAAACACAGAGAGAGATAAGTTGGAAGGTATGGAAATGTGGAAAGAGAACATAATAAAATAAATAAATGGGGAATTGTATGCATGGCCATAATGGAGATGGATGAGATGCCATCACTAAGAGAGAGAGAATCAAATAATCAAAGTTGAAAATGGAGAATGGAGAAAGAGAAAATAAGGAGAAATCATAAGTTAGGCATCTTACATATACCATGCTGTTACTAAGCTAACATGATAAGAAAAGATTTTAATGCAGAGGAATTAGTTTAATGAAATTGGGTTTTAGCAGCATTGCTATGATATAAATCTCAGAGAAAGGATACAAAACCTTAATTATCTCCAAATTTACAATGCTTCATTTTGAAGCATAACCATTAACCTAGAAACTGAGACATGAACAACTTGGACACAATCAACCAACTCTCTCTCTCTCTCTCTCTCTCTCTCCACACACAGTAGTAACTAACACTAGTATAAGTAAGTAACGTAACGTAACGTAAACGTAAAACGTAACGTAAGTAACGTAACGTAAAA